CATTCTCTGCAGGGCAAAGAGAAAGGCCACACCCTAATATTTTTTTTTATTTGCATTGGGTGGCAAGTATCATATTAGATAAAAGTACCTGCAATATAAAATAGTGGTGAACATTTCTCAATGCTCCCAAAGTTGTGATAAATTAGTCATCTTTTAATAACCAGTACATTTTTAAAAGGTAGATTCTGATTTATGAGAACCTGTTGTTTCTAGTTCTTTCATTTATTCTGTGAAGTGTTGGGTGCTACTTCATCTTCAGGATTATTATGCTCACAGATACATTCTTTGATTCTGATTCTACTCACAAATACCTCCACTGTTTAGTGAAAAAAAATAGTACTCTGGGAAAATCACAATATCATTGCTATGCCCTAAAGCAATTGAGAATAATACTTTGATATATCACGATGTGTTTGTCAGGTTTGAGAGGCAGCAGAGCCTGGGTTCAAGTCTGCACAAATAAGGGAAGACTTTCCAAAACCCAGTGAGCCTTCCAGCACCGCTTTCAAAACCTTTTGTTAGCTTGGAAAACTTTGACAATTGTCAAATTCAGGGAAGAATTCACAAATATATATCCAACTCCCCCTATTCTTTCCTCAGTTGTTTGTCAACTACTTCTCTGAAACCGTAGATTTTTCCTAAACATCTTCCATGAGCTAGTGGTGGTCATCACCAGGTCATCTTTGGTACTTTTTGTGAATCTTCTTCTTAGTTGTTTAACTATGTTTAACTAAGACTCCTGAGACAAATTAGGAATGAAGATTCCAGTGAACAGCAGGGAGGCAGGAAATCAAGTATCATAAAACTCAAATTTAGAGACTCAAAGAAATGGAGGTTCCTAAGTCTTTATTTTTTGATGATACTTGTGGGAATAGACCTCTCTCTGTAAAAAAGCAAAGTACTTTTACAGAAGTAGCTGTGATTTTGCCAGCATGTGGGTGGTGGAATGGAATAAATTGTCCTTCCTGAGTAATTGGCATCACCATATCTGGCAGCACCAGAAAAAGCAAATTGAAACTGCTATTATTGATGATGATATTAAAAGTTAGCAGAACATCAAAACCTGAAAGTTCCCGTGGGTCAGTCTGTGTCTTGGGACCTTGCCTCTGAGTTTAACACAGAACTTTGATCTGCTAACCCAACATCCTTACAGCTAATAATAGGCAATCAAATAATTTCGAGTGTATTACAGAAAAAGAGTAAGCAATCCACTAGAATCAATGGGGTGTTATCCAGAATTGTTCAGCTGAAGTGACGCATTTCACACCAATTTGCACTGAAGATAAAAGGGCAGATTCACAGGTCCATCAGCTTGACAGGCACTGAACTAATCAGCTGATGCAACACCTCTCAATGAAAGTGTCTGGAGCATTTATTCTTTGCAGACAAACCTGAAAACTACAATTAGGTGTCTACAATCTGTTCTGTAGCTCCCATTTATTGCCAAACACTGTAAAGTAACTCCTCTTTTATAGAGGGCTATTTATAAAGTGGCCAGAGTGGTTAAGCCAGTTTAAAAGCTTTGTGGAACGATATTTGAAGACTATCTAAGCACTCCTAGAATTCTGTTTTAAACTTGCATTTTTTGAGAGACGAGGGAGAATTTCTAAATTTTCTGGATATATGAAAGGAATTACCATATACATTCAGGAAACATGTTTTGTTCTTTTACTGTTCTTACTAGTTTACAAGTTGTTGGCCCCCAATTGTGTTTAAAATTGCACTTGTTTTTTTGACTTCTAAAATAATCTCAAATGAAAATATATGTATCTCTGTTATTACATTAATATTTAAGGCTCTAGTAAGATGTAAAAGGAATCAATTTTTAAGTCTGTTGTTAATCTCTTTCTTGTATTTAGTAAATAAAATAAACAAATCAGCATAAACCACTTTCGTCTAACAGAACAGCTGCTACAAATAGAGAGGGAAATGTTTACAATGCAAGTTAATTAAATTATGACAAAAAATAAAGTATCAACTTCCTTTCTTCCACATTCAAAAGCATGCACTTGTCAAGAAATATTCTCCCTACAATTTCTCAACTGGCTCTGGCAATATGCCAAGTCTAAACCATGCCAAATGAATTAGCTTAACAAAGGTATAAATATGCTCAGACAAAAAGATCTAACACGTGGCTGGTTTGTGTGATGTTCTTTCAATTAGCCATATTCCAATAAGCCTCAGTTTTAAATTCATAAGCCTCAGAATTCATTTGGCATTGGTGAATTCTCCTCCCCCCCCCCAGTAATTAACTATTTAGGTGTGACTAATGAAAAAAAGAAGTCAAATTGCATATTGGTTTCATCAGCAGTTATAGATAATTAATTAATCATTGGTTTTATTTAAATTGGTTGAGTATTATTATGAAAAAGTAAGTAATCAGTGCTGAGCTAGCTTTCATTTTCATATTCTATAGGCTCAACTGAACACATTCACAAACATATACGTTTCTTTTCATGATAAATACTCTTTGGAAATGATTCCTATTTTTGTCTTTAGTTATTTTCAATCATTTAAGAAGGTTTATGGCAGTTAAATTAAACAAACTTAAGCTACATAATGAAGAAACGCATAATTACTCGAGCTAGCACTACACAATTACACAGTAATGAATAGTGGATCATTATACCCTATTTAACATTAGAAATTGGTAGCATGATGAAGAAAAATGCTGAAATTTGTCATGTTTTGTTGATCCATACCGTGATCATACAGTATTTTTCCTCCTAAATTGTCCATCCACCAAGTTTGTTCAAAATGTCACAGACTAGTTCCAATTACAACTATCAAAAACAGTAAGACACAGTATGAAAAACATTTCATTTTAAATAAATATATTTTATTATTTTGACCCATATGCCCCATGTCTATATGAAATGAGAAACTCCAAGGCCAGTTATAATAAGGAAGAAGCTACATAAGGAGCAGGGGATCTGCAAATGGATAGGACAAGTGTAATTACATTATTTTGAGATCATACTGTAGGAATCAGAAGGGACTGAACATGTTAACCTTAGGACTTCTCTTTTCCTACCTTTTAAAATATCATGCAGTTAGAAAAAAAATATATATAAGGGTACAGTTTCATCCCATGCTGCTCCAGGAATTCAGGATCATTTTAGCCTGTATTTCTGCTGTGTGGGATGACCAAGCCCACCCAGAGCACCCACACTCAGAGCCTTGCCGTCCATTCAGCACCCCAGGAAGGGCAGGACTCCCCACGGTAAAACACACTGCAGGACCGTGACACTCCTGTCGTGCATTTCTCAGGAAAATGACTGCACTCTGAACGAGCCCTGCTCTTGCACAGGCTGGAGTGTCACTTGTCCTTTCCCAGCCCGGTGCTTTCTGTGCCTCAGGTGCAGCTGCCCACTCCACCGAGCCCCTCAGTGGGGTTTTGCTTCGTGCCACACAGCCGCTCATGTCTCCTACCAGCTGAGGAACTGCACTGCTGCTGTCTTCCACGCCTGTGGTCTGCTCTGTACTCACACAACAGCTACAGCACGTACATGTATAAAATGGTACTAAAACACTGAACTAAAAATAAACTTTTGCTCAAAAAAAGCAGACTTTTTCTCATCCTGGAAATGATCATGCTGGTTCGCATCTTTTCAGTGTGATTATCAAAGATTTTCATGGCCTGCTTTACAAATAGTGGATTTTTTTCTGAGGTCGTATATCAATCTTTCTTTTTTTTCCTTGATAAAAAACACATCCATTTTTCTATTGTCCTCAGTATTGTGGAACAGTAAAATAATTATGTTAAAGTACTATAATGTCTCTTGAGTTTGGTTAAAAAACACTTAAGAAAAAAAAATCTTCCCTTCTCCAATATTATTTATAGATATTTTCTTTCTGTATTTCCAAATAGTTTCTTGCACTAATGCATTTCAATGGCACGGGATTATGCAGCCCTATTTTAACTCTGCAAATGTCCTCATTTTTAATTCGCCGTTATTGGCAGATACAAAGTATTTATGTTGGATAAAAACAATAATGAAATACCTGCATTGCCCAAAATCTAATGCCAATGGCATTTTTCGAATAGTCTACAACTACTTTTTACCACTGTCAATGCAATTTTTTTTCCGGTGGAAAATCATGAGAATAGTCTCACTTATCCGCATGCAGTTCTGCAGCAGAAATGACAGAAGTGAGAAAGAATGCAATGGTGGAAAGCTTGTATCCCACTCAATTTAAGCAAACCAAGGAAACATTTTGCTTGAAGATTTATTTTTTGTGTATGAATGTACATGAATGAATATACACATTTCTTGAAGAAAGCAAGAAAGCACTCTCTTGGTCTTTTATCCAAAGGCTCATTTACCACACTCAGATGTGATGCTGTAAACAGTATTGAATGAGTGTGAGAATTGTATACATGGGAAGGTATTTAAAAAGTGGATAAAACTGAGTGGCAATGTCACCTGAAAATTCACCGTTCTCATTTTGATCACAGCATACAAGGTAGGCAGAAAAAAAAAGCCCGATCAAAACCGATCTTTCATTCTCCTTGCCGCTCCGTCTGCAGCAAGCACGGAGGAAGTTTGGGCTGCCGGCGGCCCGTAGTTCCCCTGGCAACCGCAGGAAGCGTCGGCGGCGCCGAGGGGAGCAGAGCCGGCCCTGCCTGGAGCAGGGAGCCGGGACAGGGGCCTGAGGGGAGCGGGGACGGCGCTGCCCGGAGCCGGGGGGCGGGACAAGGGCCCAGGAGAGCGGTGACGGCGCTGCCCGGAGCCGGGAGCCGGGACAGGGGCCCAGGGGAGCGGTGCCGGCGCTGCTCGGAGCCGGGAGCCGGGACAGGGGCCTAGGGGAGCGGTGACGGCGCTGCTCGGAGCCGGGACAAGGGCCCAGGGGAGCGGTGACGGCGCTGCTCGGAGCCCGGCGTGTCCGGAGCCCGGCGTGCCCAGGGAGCGGGAGCCGGGGCCGGGACAGGGGCCCAGGGGAGCGGGGCGGGCCGCTCGTGCTCCCGCGGGTTTCTGGGTGTCCCACGGGGCTCGTGAGAGCCGGGGGCTCTGTGGGAATTCGCCGGAGCTTCTCTGCCTGAGCCTCTCGGCGGTGACGGCGCTCGAAGCCCCTCGTCTGTTTGTGCCTCTGCACTCCGGGAGAGTCGGCACTCAGCAGGGTAAGGGAGCGACCTCGCCTTTCAAATCCTACTGACTTCCCTTCTGCCTGCCTTAAGTGACTTCTAGATCCCGAACTCCAGGCTGCGCTTTTCCTCCTTTGAAAGATGTCTCTTAAAAGTGCTTCTCCTATTTATGTTTAAAGTGTCGCTCCTTTATTTGAAGTCTGTCGTCTGCCAGTAGATGGGTCACTTTTGTATCAAACCTCGCTTGTTTGATTCACGGCTGTGCTTCACCTGTCTGATCTCTCTGCAAAAACGTGTGACCCTTCCAACTTCTCACTACACGAGGGCATTCATCTCTGAAGAGTGAGACGTCCTTAAGAAAAGTACTTCTGCTCAGTGCTACCTAATGTGCCTTAGCATGTTTTGATTACTTGGAAAATAGAAAAAATTAAATACATCTGAATTACTTTAAATACTTTTCTGAGAAAAATATGCTCATCCCTGAGGCAGTGTTTGTTTCTGTGTATGGCTTCCTATTACTTTCATCTCTATATAGTGTAATTTTTTTTTTTCACTATAGGAATCTATGTTTTTTTCATGCAGAATACACCACAGCAAAAATTACCGAACATTAAAATATTCAAAACTAGGGTTTTCACTCTTTATAATTTTATTACTATTTGAAATCTTGTAATCTCCCAGGAATAATCCATATTACTCATCATAGTTTCAGACTTGGTATGTTAAATAGGTAGAGAACTGTTATTTTTGTTGGGGACACTTTAACTCAGTTACATACATTTGTAGTGACGTATAGCTGGTACACTGACTTACAGAAGATAAGTGTACTTAATTCAGTATTTAAGGATGTAGACAAAGTTATTTTTGCAGTCTTTTTAAAAAAGTACTTGCATTCTTCTTAGTGGAATTGGAATTCATTTTCTGTGTTCTTTTATTTGCTGCCTTACATTTCTGTTCTCATCTCTTAATGATTGTGTTTTAGATTTTGTGTCCTGGATGTACTTGCTTTGTTCCTTCATCCTGGACCTTCTTCAAATTGTTGATTTCTTCTGATATAACTGTACCCAACCCTATCTGACTTGGGGTCTTCTGCAGAGCCCTGTACTGCTGCTTGGATTTCTGTAGGCTACCCTGAAAACAGGCTGTATGTAATTCACTTTTGCTGCAGGTCTCAAAGGGCACAAGTAAAGAGGAGCAGGTTACAAAATGTGTGCATTTGAAATATGGAGTGACAGGACTATTACAATTGTCCCATGCACGGTGTACTGTGTACAAGAATAGGCGTCTGTTTCCTAGTGCACTTATTCAGATTTACTTGGCTGGGTGTTCATGGGCCTGGGGATTTTAACCCTTGATACTCTGTCATATAGGAATGAAAATTATTTTATGTTTTTATATTTTTTTTTTGTAGGAAACAATGTTCTAAGAATGTCATCAGGCATCCAAATAAAAACAAAGACTGCAGCACCTAAAAGCAAGACATGTTCTACAGAATCACAGCCAAAGCCTAGTGACAAGCTGAATCCTAAAACTATTGATCCAGTATGTATAAATGTTGGTGGTTTTGTTTAGTTAAAATCAATCTGTAGTTTGAAGACTTTTCCTTACTTTATGAAATGGCATGCAAGACATGCTTCTTCTGGTCCTATTTTTTAAACTGAAATTAAGATTTTGTTATTAATCATACATACTTCATCTTCTAAGCTCAAATGCCTGAAGGTATAACATTATTTATTACATTTTTATAAAAATGTGTTTTGTTACAGTTGAGGCTTGGATGGTAACTGTTATTTTTTATGTACTATTGCCCTAAAAAGAGATTTAGAGGTAAACATTTAAAAGGGTTGTTTTTTTTTTTCTTCTAAACTTTGGCACCTGGTACTTTAGAGAAACTTCTTTCAGTTATGCAATGAAACCAAGAATCAGGTGGCATATTGAAGGTATTCAAGGATTCATAAAATCTGGCAAATTAGTTTCTGGTGAGCATTATTTGAAACTCACAGTTACAGTGATTGTGTAATCCTGCAGGAAAAAAATTGTGTTCTTGAGAGAGTAGTAATGAAAGGAGTTGTTTATTTCATGGGAGTCCCGTGCCTGGAGAACTAGCATTGAATGCATGAATTGTAGTTCACCAGTGGGCCATATTATTTGGCAATTAGTAATGTCACAGGCTTTTTGGAAAGTGAATTAAATGTCGAAGTACTTTGCTGATAAACAGAGGCTGAATACTTTAATGTGGGCATCTTTTTTACTTGAAATCTCTTTGCAAGTAGCACAATGACCAAAATTAAGCCATGAACACAATTCTGCTAATCTTAATGTAGTTTTAAGCACTCAAAAGATAAAAATTGAGATGTCATAGAATTTGCTTCTGAATGCTTTGTGATAAGGTGTGATATATTATCTGAGAAGCAGCATTAAATGATCATGTTAATAAATAATATAATAGTTCATATGCGTAAGAAGCATGTATATGATAAAAACACAAATTTTTGCAGCTTTTCCTTGCATGAAGATCCTAGTTTCCTTATCCAGAGTTCCTAGATGGGAATTCCTAGATTCCCACCCAGTATGAACCTTCTTGTATATTTCCAATGCTCTCCTACTGTTGATGTTGGGGTAGTTGTTGAGGTGAAGCAGGTAAAGAAGCAGAAAGAGCCTTTGCAGGGGTTTTACAAGTTTTTATTTCAGCCACCCGTGTGCACAGTCCAGCGTTCAGAGGCAGAGGCAAAAGCAAAGGGATTGGTCTGAGAGTCCAGGTTAAGTACATGGGGGTTTTGGGGCAGGGGAAGTAGTATCAGAGACCAATACCAGGGGCATGGGGGTGTTACAAGGATGGGATTAGGGCATGGGGGCCAACAAGGAAACAGGGTGGAGTGACCAAAAGGCTGAAGGACAGGGAGAGGACACGGGTGTGACCTAAAGAACAAGACAGGGATTGTTCTGACCTGCTAGAACAGGATTTGTTATCAAAAGGAGACAGCTGAGAGAGAGGCCTCTCGTGTCTTTCTAATTGGGAGTGCCTTTCAAAGTCTCCACATCCTGCGATCTTGTGCAATATTTGGTGTTTCTCCCACATCTTGCCACCATATACTTTTGTCTGTACTCAGATCGAGATGGAATTGCAATAAAACTGCCTTCTGCATGTTACCAATACAAGAGCTTCAGGGAAGTGGGAGCTCCTTCATCTGCTTAGGAAAGAACCTGTAAGACTTTAATATTACCATTTGCAAGAAAATGGTAGAAAAATAAAAGTGATTCCATCAGGAAACCACTGATTGTACATTTTTATTCATTTTAACAGCTTCTCAGACCAACGAGTCTTAAAAGCAGTTTTTGGATAAGTGTATCTCTTATATGTTTTCCACTCCATAGCTGCAGTTCTTTTTTTGGTTTGTCTTAGAATCATATGATTAAATTCACTTTTGGTAAACTTCTGTTTTAATATATTCATAATAGATATAAAACATTACTGTTATGAATAAATATGTTTGGGTTTTTTTCTGTCCTCACAGTTTCGTGCTTATTCTCAACCACCATCTGCATTTGCTGCTACATATGCTAGAGGTGGCATTCCGTGCAGGTGTGTTGGGTTTGTTTCTTATTTTTACTAAATATATTATGAAATACATCTCTTCTTGTTTCATCTTTTAGTTAGGTTGTTTGATTCCATTAAATTCTGGGAAAATTTCTAATACTTCACTCTATTCAGAGCAAAAAGCAACTTTCCATGCCTTTGAAACTGTCTTCTTTTGGTTCCTTTTTCTATGCTGTATTAATACCAAAGCCACATTTTTAAAGAATAGTTAAGTATGTGCCACTTGATTTCCTAAACATTTTTCTCAAATTCTTTTTTCAGGTAATTGTATTTACTTCTTCTTGCTAACACAGATAATAAAACTAGTGCATTTTAATAAGTAGACCTTTCACAACCTTTTTTATCTGTACTTAGTAGTATAACATGTTATTGAATATTCCTATTCTGTAGTTTTCAGGCATATTCAATATTAACAAAACTACCTGCAAGTAAGTTTATTTTTAAGGTATTTTAAGTTACTTAGTTACATATTTGCCTGGACAATAAACGTTCTGGTATTTTGTCACAAGGATGCAGAATTAATTTACAAAAATATAAGCCATCATTAATGAGATGTACATGTATAGAATTATATAAAATAATCATTAATACATAGTATTAATACATTTATTTGTATCTTAGGAGTAAATAGTAAATTCCAGTATGGTCTTCCTTCAGTTTCAACTGCTTTCCCTTACCCATTGCTATTTAAGGAAAATGTTTCTTAATATACTTATCAAAATAAGTAACTTTGCAAAAGGAATAACTTCTGTGTTGGCATGAGAAGCACCTACAATTTTTATAACTTCTATTTTCTGATTTCTGTGTGATTAGGAGCAGAATTTTGAAAACTTCCATGTTTTGAGAATTTAATATAATTGTGCTGTTAACCATTATACATATACACAGGTTGGACTCCATGATCCCAGAGATCTTTGCCAGTTGATTCTGTGATCCTATAATTCCACGAAGGAGAGCATTATGTATTGAGATTGTGTATATAATGAAGGAATACAACAAACTAATTGGTGATACATTTAAAGTAAATAGTGTTAGCAATAAATTATGTATTATTATTTTGTTAAAGCCTTATTCTTTATGTAGGTTAATGCATGGATCAGTAAAGCACAAACTGCAGTGGGAATGCCCTCCTGGAACTCTTCTCTTTGATCCTCTTCTTTTAACATTGGCAGAGGTAAACTCAATTTCTTGCAACATTAAGCATACAACCATTTCCTCATTGCAAATGTTATTTTTTAACAATCTAAGTTAGCTAGTTTAGGCTCAGCTACTAGTGAAATATTAAAAAACGCACTTGTGAGAATATTGTACGAATGAAAATGGTCAAGAGCATTGGATTTGTAGTTCTTTAGTTAGAGCTTTCTGGGAGAGCTAGGTAGAACCATTTAATCTTCAATATACTGATCAAATGCAAGTCTGCATCTGAGGTGCCCAGCTGTTGAATGAAATTTGTGATTTTCCGGATTCCTTTGTAAACTAAATTGTTTTGCTTATTTTTGTACAAAAAGCCTGCCTTATGAAGTAAGAATGCTCTCTTCAATAGACTTAACAGATAGAGTGGAAATAGGATCCTGTAAATAAGTGGAAGAGAAGTATTGTACACTGTGTTGAGGCTTCTGTTTTCTTAGAACCATCTGTGACATTTATCACCAAATATGTTCCAGGTGTCTAAATAAATGCTGAATCCAATGTCGCAGGTAGAATAAAGTGTGTATAGTGAGGTGGCTTACTTTCTTTTTCCTTTTTTCCTTCTTTTCCCGTTTTTTCCTTTTTATTCTCTTTGTTTCTTTTTTTCCCTTTTTTTTTTTGTTTTTTCTTTTTAATATTAAACAAAACTGTCAATTCCTAAAGTAACATAATACCTCTACTATGTTAAGAAAAAAGCTTCAGCCGCGGGGCTTTAAATCTTTGAGTTTTGCCAGTCAGACCTTCACTAGATGTGCATCTTTGCACATATGCAAACTACCTACAAGTTTTTAGTGTTGCATAGAGAGGTATGTGGTGGGGGGGTGTCTTTCTTTCCATAGTTCACCTTCTGTTCTTTTTTCCCTTCAGGGTACAAAACCTCTATACAAATATAGCCTGTTCTAGTTCATGGTCTCACTGAAAAAATACCTTGGGTTGCTAGATTAAAGGTAGTGAAGCACAAATATTGATTTAATTGACAGTATTCATAATGTGAATTTTAAAATTCAATGTTCTAAAAGAAAAAATGAATTAGAATATTCTGTGAGCAGAGTTATACCCAGTGGCTCCACATGGTGGAGATAGTGTACTTTATTATTTTGAACTAATCTGACAAAATCTAAACATGGTCTTGCTTCTGTGTGGAACTTCTAAAACGCGTTTTTGTTTAAAAGAGGGCTCAGTATTAAGAAAATTATGTTTTATATTTGCTACAGGGACTAAGAGAGACAAAACATCCCTATACTTTTGTTTCCAAGGAGGGTTTCAAAGAATTACTTCTGGTTGAAGGTGCTGCTGAAAAAGCAATTCCCTTGTTGCCTCGTCTAGTTCCAGTCTTAAAGGCTGCACTGGTATATCTTGCTCTTCATGCAGAGATTTTAATGGGTTTGATTTTTTTTTTTTCTTCTGCTGGTGAGAACTACATGGGTAATATGAATGTAATAGATCTATTGCTTTTGGTTTGGGGGGTAGGAATAATTTCTCTTTCTGTTGTTAACATATAAATTAAGATGGGCAACTCCTGGTATAACTATATGACAGTAGTTATGGGAAAATTTTATGAAACTGTTCTCTTAAAGGTTTTAATATAAGCAGAAATAAATATATATATTTGTGGTGGGCTTTTTTTATATGTCCACGCAATAACATGCAAAAAACAAAAATGAGTTGAAGTAAACTGGATATACAAGAATAAATACTCATCTATTATATGTAACAATTCAAAACATGCTACAAAGGTAAAACAGAATCACAAAATGAGGGACCTACAAGGATCATTGGGTCCTGCTCCCAGGCCTGCACAGCAGCATCTCCAGAATATATCAATGAGGAAAAATGAATAATATACATTTAAAGTGTTTGAGATCATCTTCTTAATTAAAAAAAAATAAATTTAACTCCTCTACACCATCAGAAAATAAAGTGAGATATTGGCTTTAAGGGTTATCTCTTTTGGATCTTTTTCATGTCTTTGAGAGTCCTTTTCTGGTTCAGTAAGTAGCTGTCTGTTAATCTAGCTGTGTTTCAGTTCTGATTTAACAGAGATGGCTTGAAGTCTGAAAATTAATCTCAGATGTAACAGCAGTTGAGAATTATGTGTTAACACTATCTTTGATTTAGCTTAAAGGCAAAATTAGAAAAATTATTCTTGTCTTTTCCTCCAATTCACATTACTCTTCTGATAATTTTTATTGTTGCACTTTTTTTGATATTATGTCTTGTTAAATCTTCCACTATACAAGCAGTCAAAGATTCCTAGTTAAAAAGAAAATGTTCAGGGCCCGGAAGCTGGAGAGGAAAAACAGTTGTTTAAATAAATTTATAATTTAGAATGAGACCAAAATAAGTTGCTTTGAGTCTATTTCTCTGCTAAAGGAAAAGCCAGGTAACTAAACCATTCGAGATGTCAGGTATAGAAGAACCTTCCTATGGGAGAAATAAAGACGACAAAGAACCATAGAAGTAGATATGAGCCTGATAATTGCTGGCAGGTGACAAAGGTGTAGTTGGCAGAGGATTAAATTAATTGAGGCAGAAAGTAATTGGGTCCTCTGCTTCTCCAACAAAGAAAGTTATTGTTATGAATTACATAGAAATTATCCAGAATTTATTACATTTGTAACTAAAACAGTGTCTTTCAATTTCAACATATCAGCATTGAAAGGTTATTTCTAATATGCTGTGAAATACTGAAATTATCAGTGTAGCAAACAAGCTGTTCTGAATGCCACATTTTTTTATTTCAGCAATAGTAAATAATTAATTTTGTTGTTCAGAAGAAAGGCAAGAATTCTGTGGACATTTCATGGATGCTTTTTTTTTCCACTTTAAAAACATGCTCTGGCTTTAAATTTGGCCTCTAGAGACTAATATTCAGTCATATTGCACTTCTATTTCTAAACTTGTATCGTTATAGCAATTAGCAATTGCACAGTAGTTTTAATGTTTAAAACTACTCCATACAATCATAATGCAGAGATTGCAGGTTAGAAAAACTTACATGTTTGTCTGAATCTTACTAACAGGATTTTCTTTGTTTCTTCCTCTTCTGAAGGCACATGTGGATGATGAAGTTTTTGGCAGGGGATTGGATGCTTTAGTGCAATTGAGTGCTGTTGTTGGCCCATCTCTTAATGATCATCTTAAGTTTCTGCTCACAAATGTAAGTTTTTAATGCTGCAGTAAAAAAATCATTTGTGTTTTCATGGCACTCTGGTTGAGATGTTACTATAATATCTGCACAGATGCAGTGGGGGACTCAGCAGTTGCATGAAAAACATTATTTCATATAGTCCCGTGTGTGAGTCATTCATTCTTTTATAATATGGTGAGTTACAAAGTTTGAGCAAGGTCCAAAACCTGTTGTTAATGTAAACTGGAGAATAATGGAAGTCCTCTCTCTACTATTTATGAAAACATCCAGATGCATTGTTTTGGAGTAAAATTTATTGCAAAATGAGTTTTTAATCATAAATCTGACTATTTTAACAAAAGCATGAACGTTTCAATACAGTAACAGAAGCAAACATTCCCACTCCTTTAAGATAGCAATTCTGCACAAGGAAGTTTTCACTAAATAAGCTTTGAGTGGGATTATGAGAAGTATTTTTATACCAAGTCATTCTGAGGACATAATTTCTCTGTCAGACGGACTTTTTCATGGTTTCTTTTAGCCTGCTTGCAAAGTGCACTTTTACAGCAAAATAAAAGGACCTTTTTTGACAATCAACACAGAAGAGAGAAACCACAGTCAGGTTTTTTTGAAGTATTTCCACTATAATAAATCACTTTCAATGCTCATGAAAAAGAAGTGAACTTTTCATGTGAACAACTCTTTAAGAATGACTTTTTTTAAGGTGGATATTTCTTTCAAATTTATTTGGTAAAAGAAAAAGAAATATTTTTGTGGATTAACAGATCAGTTTTCTTTGAGTTTAAGTTTCTCTTTAGCTAACTTTTTATTCCATTTGCTTTTATTGAGTTCCACACCTTGACATCAGTTACAAGTTTATATAAAGTAATGTTTCTTTGTGGCTTTAATTGTGCAAAGGTAAGATGGAATAAAGTAACAAAATAGGTTATTATTGTCTCTTTCCATATATTGTACTATATTGTGCAACAAACCTTTTTACTTTTCCAATAGCTTTTAAAGAGATTAATGGACAAGAAATATAGAGAAAAAGTTACTGATGCTTTACAAAAGTTGGAGCACCATGGTGGAAAGGTGAGTTGATCAGATGTTTATTCAGTAATCTACACTTTTGAATACAATTTTGTGAAAACAGCTTTCATCTCTGGTTTTTCTTGCCATATTCTTGCTTCAGTATTGTGAGGTTTTGGAAACCTCCCAGTGCTCTGAGGCACCCACACTGTCGGGTTGTGTTCTTCTTTAAAAAGCGAAGCAGCTAATAGTTGTTATAAAGTTATTTATTGTAAAAACACATCAGTCTCAAAAGCAAAAGTCACAGACAGCAAAGGCCATGCTAAGTTCTGGCTCAGAGTCCCAAACAGAAGCAGAAGCTTCCTGTGGTTCCAGGAGGGTCAGAGGAGCCGGGCAGCTCCTGTCTTCTTCCTGGGTGTTGATGACAGCGATGAGAGCAGGAACAAAAGCAATGGCATAAAAGTAATGGCAAAAAGCAAGTGGCAAAAGCAATGGCATAAAACAATGGCAAAACTGCAGTGGCAAAATGAACATGGCATAAAGCCATGGCATAGAGCACCAGCTCTCCCTGATGCATGTTCTTTTATAGAAACTTTTCAACTAGTTAAGACACAAACTCAGACCACTACTTCTTAACCTATTAGAATTCTAGCACACCAGGCTACGTATAAACTACATTCATGGGCTATCTTGTTCTAACTGAAAAATGTAAGTAATATTCTTTAACTCTATTATGTCTGAAGCTAGGTTCTTGGAGCCTCTAAGGAAACACTATTATGTTTTTCAACCTTCACTAGAATATGTACTACTTCTCAGGCATCTAAGACCTTTTACTCACTAAAAGCACTTAAAACTTATTCCATTTATTTACTTATTTACTCACCCCATCTATTCACTTACCCATTCCATCTGTTCACTTACTCATTCCATCCAAAAGCTTTAATTCAATCCCTGCATTCTGATTTCTCTCTGAAGAAATCAGAGAGACTCCTGACTTACTGACTCCAATACAGTATGGCTGGGATACATGTTTGGTTTTCCATTTTCTGGGACTAAATAACTTTCTCAACAAGATTTACTCTTGCAAAAAGTTACTTTTTGCTGTTGTTGGTGATGCCTGCCAATTTCCACTAATAGTTTATTGTTTATGCCATTTCCTGAGGGAATCTGACACTCACATTCCAGCCCACCCTGGTTAACCCAGAGTTTGGATCTGCAATGGCTATAAATCAAAAAGATGCTTTAAGTAACAGATGGCAGAGGTTTCTTCTGTTGAACATTCTTTTGCCAAATGTTGTGCTGTACATTGTGCACAAAGGACAAAAGGAGAAAAAATGAGCAGTACTGGCTTAGATGTTCATCTTGAAGAGAAAATATTTGGTTTCTTGACCCTACGAACAGTTGTATGTGTTATATTAAATGGTTATTCGCAAAGAATAGGAATAACCTGAGGAGTAGGGACCTAGCAGGCCTAGAAGTACTGAGTTTGTGTGCCTTAGCCAGTAGGTGCCCAAATAATCAGTAGATGCCTCTTCTTGTGTGTGTGCTCATGCTCATTTAAGAGCAGTAGCAGTGTTTGTACTACAAACTTGAAAAACATAATGAAAAATGAAGGAGGATGAAAGTTTTTTATTTATATGAAGTGAGACAAGAAAAGGAAAATTATGTCTTGTCCTAATGTTCTGAAAATTTAGGTCTAGATAATATAATTAATCCAGTGAATCATTAACCTCTAATTCTTCTGTTAGTCCACTGATTTCCTGTAGTCTTACCTGTTTTGTGAGTAAGTCTTTCTGTATGTCTTTTAAAAAGACAGTAATAAGATAAAGCAAAAAAAACCTGGAAACTACTAAATTGTGGTTACAAGCAATAATATATAATCCAACTGATTAATTTATCAAATTTATTTCCTAAATTAGTTATAAAGCATATGATTCTTACTTTTGTTGGAAGTCCCTTCCAGAACATCATTGCTTAAAAATCTGTATTATTCCATGTCTATATTTATGTCCACTTTTAGGTATGAATGTACATGTCCCTTCTTTCAGATGTTTACTCCCCAGCATTAATTATCCCTATGGTACATTTTCCCCGTTCATTATTTTCCGCCCTTTTGACAGTAAATTTCCCAGCAAATATTAACTTTTTAGTTTTCTACTGTTTGATAATGGCAAAGATAACTAAGTAAAAGTTGTGAATGATGCAATTTATAGAGACTATATGAGTACTGTCATATATAATGCTAATGCCCCTTATTTTGTTTAAATTAATTTTGTTTTCTTCAACAGGCAACTGTGGCTATCATCAAGTCTAAAATTCCAACCTATTGTTCTATCTACTCTTGAACAAGGAAACTGTAGTGATTTGTACTGTAAGGTGAATTTTGGAAACAAACTGTCTGTAAATATCACTGACACTTACTTGGGGTATGATATATTCCCTTAAAATAATAATAATTCTTAAGTATGATGGAGAGCAGGAGTCTTATCAGTTTGTAAATATATAATTATGGAAGACTTCTCCTTGTATATTGTATATGCATTGGGCTTACAATGACACTGATTAATGTGCTGTTATTTCAAAGCAGAATAAATACTGATTCTTATTTCGTTTTTAACTTACAATTTCATTTATTATATCTGCAGTGCTCTTAATATGTTTTGTATATTTGTGTGATGCAAAATAATTTGGTTGTAATTACTTAAATAAAATCTAACTTGGTGCTAAATTGCATATGTGTGGCTACTTTTGAAATATATAACTTATTTTGTGACATGGCACAGATAGACACATTTAGGTTCATAGTCAGCTTTTAAAGGTGTGAAGCTGAACCCAGTAAACAGGCAGCATATAGTCCAAAGCTGAACTTGCTCAGTGCATTCTCAACATGTTGTTTTGAGAGCCTGGAAAGGCTCTGGAGAATACAGTGTAGAGGCATCAGCTTGCTCCACAGAGCCACAGCTGAGGTTTTGCTCAGCTAATTAGTTCCTGTTAACTTTGAGCCTGCTGAATGGGAGCCGGATAGAGGAGGCAGCTTTGGAGCACTTACACTGTGCTCCCTTTGCACTGAGTTCAGTAACGTCACAGATCCGCTTGGGATTTGCTTGTGAATTCAGGTCCAGACAAGTTAATAAACTTCTGAACATGGAAGCTATAAAAAATAGGAGTTAAAAAAAAAAAAAATTGTACAAGCCAGCGTACCTGGCTGTCAAGCTTTGTAGGGTACAGCACTTGTCCGTTAATGTATTTATGTATTTGAACTTGATTGCAAAATAATTCCTAATTGGTTCTTGTAATGCTGTTCAGGGACATGTTGTATTCGAGTACGCTGTGAGGGAGAGTTAACTGAAGTAAAAAAAAAATTGAACAGAATGTTTTCCCCTGAGGAATATTCAATTCTGGCATTTAAAGTTGTTGGAAAGGATGTTTTGTTGTCATAAGAAGATGCTGATGCATAGAGTATTAATAAAAGTCTGTCATGTGAAAGCAATTTCAGAAGTTTTTGTTTTAAATTACCACAGCCCAACTAAAATTCACTTCAGGACAGATCTCTGCCGAGATCAGAACTGTGCTAAATCAAGATAAATGTATTTATGCTTTAAAAAATATATATATTTCTTCAGTAAGCATTTTTGCCAGGAGATATTTAACAACTCAAAAAATTTATCATGGTCCTTTTTTTCTTCATGTTTACTTTATTTTTTTTACAAAATGTGCACATTTAGTTTACACAAACACACTACAGCAGATTTCAGGTGTACATGTATTGTACTACTCTTATCCTACACTGGTGATAGCAGAGCAGCCTTCAACATGCCTCTAACATCCCATCTCTACACCAGAATAGATACCTGATTTATTTTTACAAAATAATACTTGTAACCCTCTTTCTACTTCATTAATCCCCTTTCACACTTTCTGCAGCAATGTCACAATGAAAGTTGGCCTATCTCTGATAGCATTTCATCTATTTTGAAGTATTGGCGTAGACTGTGGACAATATATCTTAAAAATGTAATGGGGCAGTTTTATGTTTTATTTTATATGCACACTTTCTTAGAAGAATCTTTCTAGGTTCAGAATTAAGTAGCTCCAGTCTTAATGAAGAAATGATCTTAAAAAATGTAAAGTATTTATCACATGTAGATGATATATAGCTAAAGTTTTAATTGTTTTCCTGGTTCTGTCTCATAGTTAAAGGTATTACAAAAAGATGAAACGGATGTTAGCCTCTAGCATTCATTATTAGTAGATGTTACTACATAGTGATGGTCATTCTCAGCACTAAATTGGGATGGCAGTTTCAAAAGTTCATGCCTTTTTCTTCATTAAAGGCAGAAAGACATACTTAGGAAAGCAGTGTTAGGATCCAGTTAAAATTTCTTCATGAAAAACTGGAAGTCAGAAGATCCTTAATTTAAAGCAAAGAATTTGCAGACACATCCAAGAAGAATTAAAAATTCTTTTTTAACAGTACAGTGTGTAGGACTCCTGATATTCATGTAATGATAAATTAAGTGCAGATTTATTAGGTGAGATTGAGAGAAGCTTACTCATATTTTTTAGGGAATAGGAATACCCATAAGCAATTTTTTTTTTGTTCTATAAGAGTTCTTGCTCTGAAGTCATCTGTTTAGTTATGTTTGGGGTACTTTGGGGTTTTTTCTGAAGAGAGAAACAAGTCAACGTTGGAAGGCAATTGTAGCAAGGTGTGCATCGCACATTATTGTAGCATTTTAACTCAAAATATTATTTAAAAATGAGGACTACACCATAGAAATAGGAGAAGAAAATAAATTGTAATGCCTCTGTATAAATTCGAAGCTAGAGATTTAAGAAATACTCTTCAAGACCTGGAGCTTAGTCCAGTACAAATGAGTAGCAAAACTAAGGATATTTATTTAATCTCTTTGTGATTGTATCTATTTTAAGTAGGGATTGGAATGATAATAAATGTGCCTAATGTCAGTTATATTTTGTTTGAGTTTGTAGTAAGAACCTGATTTTTCAGTACAGTCCTATTAATTATGTAGCCACTGTAGAAGTGGTAGATTGTATAATTTAGAAAGGGTTTTCTGTTTAGAACAGTTTATAATAAAAAATTTACTTGCATAATACATGTCTCAGTGTAAAGCTGAGTAACTTTATTTATGATAAAGTGGGAAATCCATTTTTAGATAATGTTGCAGAATAGTTCATATTTGTCCATTAGTTGTAGACCTAATGTCTTCATTAAATCACATTTTCAAAGAGCTGCATGGATCGCATTATATTCTCATCCTGTAAAAGAAGACAACACAAAACCAAAAATCACACACCATTACAAATGTAGTTAGAGGATATCTATACTGAAATGTGGTGGAACATTTTAGTTAATTGCAACATTTTTTTCAGCTTGTTTGGAGAAATGGTTAGCAGAAAAATGTTGTTAATAGGTCCATGCTTAAGTAAGTTTTTCTGTAAATTAATGAAACCAATACAGCTCTGTCAAGAATACAATAGCATATTAAGAAAATTAGATGTGTAACATTTCTGAGGTTATCAGTTTAAATTCAGGATAACAGAATACACCTAGACAATAAATACTCATGGAATAGTTGTATCAAGTGTGAATCTGTACATGTAATTGCTAGTCCTGTGCACAGCACACAGTATCCTTTTTGCAATCCTAGGGCTTCTGCTGCATAGTTAGGGATGACTAAGAAAAGTAGACTGAAGTGTGCATCACTGCATGAGTCAAAATCAGTTTGACAAGTATCACCACAACACTCTTCAGCTCCTCAATTCAGATTTTCTGTGTGTTCACAATGAAAGATGGTGACTGTTTCTAACTTCTGCTTTCAGATTGCTTTGCATTAGGTAATTTTTTAACAAAATATTCATCTTTCAAGTTCTGTATTATACTGATGCATCACTCTGTGCTCCAGATTATATCAGTAGGTAACTCTCAGCACAGCAGTCAGCAAAAAATATTTTTCTTTGTAAGCTTTACCTTTCAGTTGATAGAAGAAAGAGTCACTTGCAGTAGCCCATGTTTGTTGGCGTTCCTGGACCAACAGTTGCCAGCACAAATCAATATATATATATATATATACACAATACAAGAATTTATTACATGCTCAATTAGCATTTGCTGGTCTCCACTGTAATGATCCCTCTCTTTAGTACTTTCTTCAGAGATTATATGACCATCTTTAATTCTAATGAATAAAAAGACTGAATTATAGATTATTTTTGGATGTTTCATGAAAAAAGTGCATAAAAAATCCAGTTCTTAGAAAGGTTATCTCAATAGTATTCTTCACTAGTGATAAGTATGTGAGATTTCTGTATATTAATCTTCCATTAACACATCTTCAGTATCAATTTCCAGTTAAATTAGTCACTATTCAGTCTAGTGGGTGATTTGCTTTGTAGAAAATGACAAGTCTGAGTAATTAGCTTAATTTATGTTATGAAACATGCACAGTGGGGTTTTTTATATTTGATTCTATATGTCATCTGAAGTGATGCTGCTGTAAGGAATGGTCTGCATGCTATTTTGTACAATAAAATAACTTATGGAAGCAATGATATGTAATTTCAAAAATACACGATATAGGCTAATGCTTAAAAATTTTGTAAAGCAAACCTACTGTATTAAATTACTAAAAGTTAAAATAAAAGATCCTTTTCCTCACTGCATTGCTTTGAAACATCAATAAACTAGTGAGTGTCATTGATGTAAGGTTAAGAGTTTGGTTTAACTTAAGTCACTTATCATATTATTAGCACAAATGTTTCTGTATATACATTAGCAACAAAGCTCAGTAAATGTGCAAGCAAACAACGTGCTCTGAATCTGCAAATTGTTTTGACACTTCCTACCAATTTTATGATATATGATATTTTATTATATCATGAATGAAACTGGTAGTTTTCTAAAATCAACTCCATATTTCTGATGTAGGCTGTTTCTTTACAGAAGACTTCCAATGCCACTCCCTTAGTCAGTCAAATGAGAAGAGTCTTCGCAAGGAAATACAAACTTGTCATAATATGTAGAAAATGATGAGTTTTAGTAGCTTTTTTTTACCATCTTTAAAAACAAAACAAAACAAAACAGAAAAATCCCAGATGCTTGCATTGGAAGTCTTAGGCAAGCGTATCTTTTTTATTTGCCTCTTTTTTCAGTACATTTTTATACACAAATTTTCCTATTAGACTTGTTAAATGGTTCCTAACTCAAGACAAAGAGAGGTGTTAGTGCATATGAAGCATGGTCCATATGAAGCACAAACCTGGATGAATGAACTTTGGCAGATCTGACCTACCTTTGAGCCAGTTTTTTGTAGGTTTGAAATGGTTTCTTTGCTGTTTTCAGGATAGCCCAAACCATCAGCATTGTGTATGGAAAGGGCTACTCCTGCAGAAAACACCTGTGCCAGAAGCCTTTTTCTTATTATCACAAGGACCTATGTCAGTCCCTGTGACAGTCACCTATGCATGGTGACATTAGTCCTTTGACTGCTCTTTGTGGTGCTGCTGTAGATACAAAGCAAGGCCCAAGTCAGACCATTGTCCACTGGTACCCATCAGTGGAAGGGGCAGGTAAGGAGCTGGGAAGTGCCAAGCTCTTGAGGTAGCCCCACTCCTGTTTCTCAATCTAGATCTGCTCTTTGGTAATTTATATGAAGCCAGACAAACAGCCACCACTCTCTGAGACTCGGTGTGGTGTATCTAGGGCAGCATAGTCCATTCCTCCTGTAGGAGCAGAGAGACTGCTGGAGGCTGGATGGCAGACTGACAATCAAACACATGTGGGGTAGGGAGAGCAGGGAAATGAGGTCATACACATTCCCTGCCTACGACAGAGGGAGGATGAGGGGAAGCACCATTTTACTCAGATCCTTCTACCCAGTGTCCAGAAAAGACTGTGCTCAAAGCCTGAATGCTTTGTAATTCCCTACATAATTGTTTCAACACTTTTGAATGGACAGGCCATTCTTTGCAATGGGACTGTGAATTAAGAGCTTTAAACTACCTGTATACCTCAGGCTGTACGGTGCCAAACTGTAGCCAAACAAGTGCTCAGCATAACACCACATTTTTTTAAAAAGGCACACACATGTAAAATGAGTGTTTAAGAACACACAGTCTCTTGATTCTACAAAAAAAATCTCAGGAACATACCCCAGGAACCTGAAGTAGAAACTTTGCTCAAAGACGTTTTGCTGTATTCCTTCTTGCTTGTAAAGTAAGCATGCCACATTTCCTTCAGTTGTTGCAAAACAGGAGTAAAAGGGATATACTTCTGCAATTCACTAATTTGGCTTCCAACTCAAAGTAAAGAAATGCCAGTTCTTGGAGACTGGCAAGTCTTGCCTGAGATAACCTTCAAAGAAAAGGCTTCTGCAGCCTTTCCGTGGCAGAACATGATTCAGTTCTATTTAAAGATTCAGACCTTACCCTTTTAGATCTCATACCTATCGGGATGTTAAGAAAGGGTTTTCCTGCAGCTGTGTTTTAAAAGCAGTAGCCATGTTCCGTTGTAAAATGTGTAATCCTGAAAAGAGCAAAGCCAGATTAACTCCTGAATGGAGTTTCGTGAGGGACTTTGATTGAAACCCAGTCACTAGTGGGGTTCTGCAAGGCTCATCCTCAACCAATTCTCTTCATCTTCATTAATGATCTAGATGCAGGACTCAAAGGAATACTAAGTAAATTTGTGGACAGCACTAAACTGGGAGGAACTGTCAATTCATTCAAGGTCAGGGAGGCCCTGCAGAGAGACTTGGACAAAATAGAGAGATGTGTGAATGACGCCACTTAGGTGTTGCCTTGTTTTCTGTTATATGTTCTCTGTATTCTTCACACATGTATTTGTAACTCTGTCCTAACCTATTGTATTAGTAACTAGTTTTCCCAGTACTTTTCCATGGCCTTTCCTAGGCATTCCAGAGCTCCAAGCCCTGAGGGATAGAAAACCCCATGCTATCTTGGTTCTTCCTGAAGCCAAGGCCGAGAACACCTCTTGGAGATACATTTCATGGACAAAGTACAACTGGTGCTGAAGGGGAGGCTCCAGAGAAGGGCTTGACCTGGGGGGGAATTATATTACCACTTGTTCTCCTAATTGGTGCCTTTTATCAATTATGCTAATTTCCTAAAACCTATCAAATGTACTCACCCCTAGGGGGGTGGGCTTTTGTGGACATCTTTCCTTAATTGCTCCTGAAAGCCTTCAAATAAAGATCCCCTTTTATATTACCTCCTTCCTAAAATTTTCTCAGGTTTCATTTCCAGGTTGAGCAAAAGGCAACGTAATCACCAACTGTACAAAGTTTAAGAAGGGCCAGTCCTGGATTCTGCACCTGAGATGGAGCAATCATGCCTGTGTGTATAGGCTGAGGAATGCAAGGCTGGAGAGCTACACTGTGGAAAGAGACCTGGGGGTTCTGGTCAGGGGAAAGCTGAACATGAGCCAGCAGTGCCCTGGCAGCCAGGAGGGCAAAATGTGTCCTTGGGGCATCAGGGACAGCATCAGCAGCCAGGCAAGGGAGGGGATTGTCCTGCTCTGCTCTGAGCTGGCTGGGGTGGCCTCACCTTGAAAACTACAGTTTTGGGTGCCATGATATAAGAAAGACATAAAGGTATTAAGAGAACATCCAAAGGAGCCCATGAGGATGGGGAAGGCTCTGGAGGGGAAGCTGCATGAGGAGCAGCTGAGGTCCCTTGGTCTGTTCATTCTGGAGGAGACTGAGGAGAGACCTCATTGCAGTTACAGCTTCCTCATGAGAGGAAGCGGAGGGGCAGGCACTGATCTCTGTTCCATGATGACAGTGACAGGACCCGAGGGAAAGGGCTGAAGCTGAGCTAGGGGAGGTTTAGGTTGGATATTAGGAAAATGTTCCTCACCCAGAGGAAGGTTGGGCACTGGCACAGGCTCCCCAGGGCAGTGGTCACAGCACCAAGCCTGGCAGAGTTAAGAAATGTTTTGACAATTCTCTCAGGCACATGGTGTGATTCTTGGGGTGTCCTGCACAGGGCCAGGAATTGGATTTTATCCTGATGAGTCTCTTCCAACTCAGTCTATTCTATGACTCCATGAATCCTAGCTCCAAACCTAATTTCTAAAACCAAATCTCAATATAAACATGAATTACACACTTTGAGGCACAGAAGTTTTTTAAAAAATGGTTCTTAATCAGCAGAGAGACAAAAATTTAGACAGCAAGACATTTTTTTGTATCAAAAAAACATAGCCACCATTGAAGTTAAAAGCAAGGGAAGGTGAGGTAAGTAGCATGTTGACAATTGTAGCATTCTGTAGCATTCTGTGTCTCCATCATGTCGCAGTTTAGAGAGCATCTCTCTCACATGTATTCTGAATACTTAGAACAGATAAATAAATCTTCTAAGAGAATTGAGACACTGAATTGCACTCGATAAGGAGAGCAGGCAATTCCTTACTAAAGGTATTAATTTTCCTGGTAATCACTCAGCCCATCACCATAATTGCCATCAAATGCAGATTAATGTGTCATTTAACTTCTGGATTGCTAGAGACTTCAGCTGGGAGATGAATCTCATCTCTGTTTCTGATGATCACGCAGTGTTAGCAGAGGAAATGCCTTTCATTGGTATTGAACAAGACTGACAAGCTGGAACCACTGTCAGTGCAACAGAGCACTGCTGAGAGAAGAAATACTGCCCAGTGCCCGTTGCTAAGGATACACAGAACAGCCACAGTTAGCAGAGCTCTTGGCTGTCTTTCATTCCCCAAAATCAGTGGATTAAAATCAAACAAAGTATCACCTACTAGGTAGCTGTACTCATAAGAGCAGCTCCAATGAATAGCTACAGATGAATATAAAAATAGACTGCTTCTAGAGCATATTTGAGCATCTAGATGATTTCCCTATTCCAAATAGTTAAAAAACTATCACTCAAGAAATTGTTATCTTCTGTCCCTTTATGACTCTATTCTTGATATAGAAGATAAGAATCAATAAGCAGGGGTTATAGTGCTGGTCTCTATCAGGTTTGTATTAGTCAGTCTGCTGGGGAAGGTATCAATAGACCACTACTACGACATCTTAAATTTGTCACATCAGGCTTTCTGCCACATCAATTTACATAATGTAATCAGGCCTATCATATTCACTATGTCTAATGTGATGCTTTACTATACACTACAACCTTTATCTTGGGTTGTCTTGTGTAGAGCCAGGAATTGGACTCAATGATCCTGTTGGGTGTCTTTCAACTGAGCATATTCTATGATTCTATGAACCTCTTCTCATGCCAAAGGCTAGTCATTCTAATTTTATACTCTATCAGGTTTCTTTTTCTTGCAATTTTTAACTGTAAAATTAACAAGATTTCCTTAAATTTATGAAAATGCAACTTATCTTTCCTCATATCATCTACTGGTCTGAGAACAATCAGGTTTCTGAAGAGCAGACTGTTTTCACTCTGTAACTCCTGCTTCAGCAGTTCTCCATCCTGGCTCTAGAGGCCAGAAGCTGCTTCCAGCATTTGAAAGAAATTGACAGCCACTTGGGTAGCATTGTGGCTGACAATCACAATCAGATCACACCCTTGCCTTGAGAAAACTTGTCTAGTGTTAACTCCCGCCATCCAACACTTTGCAAACCACTTTGCACTCTCTTTTTATAAGGCTTCACTGCTTATAAGCACCTCACAACTCACTGAGAAACTCCATGGATGATAAATTTTCAGGCAATATTATTAATGATTATACACCAATTGTGATAGATCTGTGTGCCCCAGCATGGGCAGAAGACAGAAATATTTAGCTGAATGTGAAGTGCAAACTTCAGTACCAAGTGCAAACAATACACTATTAAAGAGAGAAAGGATATTGGCACAGTTGTCTAATAAGCAATGACAGCTTGTATATAACAGCTCTTCTGCAGATTCAGGCCACGAATTTATTTATACTGTTTAGTGTTTCTGTGTAATGGCATACATAGATACTCTACCTTGGGAAAATGCTGCCTCTGATATTAAGATCACCCTTACTGACACTCCAGAAATCTGTAAAGAGCTATGATAGCAACAGCTAACAGATACACATTCAGTACTTAACCCTTAATACTTACTTTCTGGCAGCTCTCAATGAATTCGTCTATGGTAACTACTCCATCTTTGTTCTTGTCCATTTTCTGTATTTAAAAAAAAAAAGTACATGAATTGGGTTTGGGTGGCCAGGGTTTGGTAGCAGGAGGGCTACAGGGCTGGCTTCTGTGAGAAGATGCCAGAAGCTTCCCCCATGTGCAGCAGAACCAATGCCAGGCAGGTCCAGGAACTGCTGCTGGCCAAGGGTGAGCCCATCAGGAGTGATGCACTCCTGAACCCTTTGTTAGTTTTGCTTTCTCCTGTTCAGTTGAGGGGGGAAGTCAGAGAGAGGCTTTGGTTGCCTGGCATCCAGACTGTGTCAACCCACTACAGTATGTTTCTCCTCCCAGATTCCTGTGCAAAACAAGTCCTTTTCAGTATTCATTTCAGTTATATGTCAGCCTAGGAACAACCAGTCCAAAAGTCATAGTAAGTGGACTATGCTTAAAGAGCTTGTTGTTGAAAAAACGGGGTGTAATAAGTAGATGTGGGAAACTTGGGATGGAACCACAGAGAATAGAAAGGATTACAGAATTGGAAGGATATGTTATGACAATGAAAATCTTTCTCTACCTGCTCACAGAGCCATCTTTTTGGCTTCTGTGTTAACCGACCTACCTGGAAAAATGTTTCCACATGTTGTCTAGGTGCATCTTCTTTGAGAACAGGATAGGTGCATTTCCCCATCATATCGTATATTGCTTTCATGATATCAAGCATTTCCTGAAGAGGAAAAAAATTATGTTTCTGCAATGTAATTGTAGACACTGCTTTAACTCAGAACATAAATATTTTTTAGGATTTGCATTTTAGAATAAAAGTTTGGAATTTTTTTTTTTTTTTGACTGAACAGCTTCAAGAAGGAACTACTTAATTCCTAGAAATTCTAGCATCGGATTTCGGCTTTCATAGATGCATGATTTAAATTTTAAATCATTTATAATATGTGCGAGTTCATGGATTGTGGGAAGAATCTCCTAATGTCTTATTAATTAAAATAAAAAGGAAAAGAAGTTCTGTAACAGCAAGTGAATGGCCAAAGCACATCAGCATTTTATGATTCATTTTCCCTAAAGAAAATTAAAACACTGATGCACACACCTGCACTTAGGCAGATAAGAAAGAGTCCTCCTTTTATAATAAAATTTTTGAATTTTAGTGAGTGGCTTGTGAAATTTTTAATAATTATAAAAACAAGTCATCTGTAGTATGCTAAAATATTATTCCATAGATGACTCTTTTACAGTGATCCTGAAGTGTTTTCTAAAAGTGTAAAATAAGAAGTGTAATTTATATATTTGCATAAACCCCACTTAAAAAAAAAAACAAACCCTCCATATATTTCAATGAAAGTGCTTATTTAGTCCCACTTATTTTCAGTACGTATTCGAATTCTTGCAGAATAAAAGATGCAGGAATCTTTCTTTATAAATTCTGTTTCAAGCAAAAATTATTAGAAGTAGATTCATAAAATGAGTAACAATTATTGCACACATACTTAATTAATTTTTGTCCAAACATCCTACCAATATATTCTAGGGACTAGAATGGTAGCATAATATGGGCAAATACATAGGCATAAGTTGAAACCAACTATTTCTGTACCCATTATGTTCAGAAACATTATTTCTGAAGAATTCTGAACTTTTACAATTTCTGTGAAGATTTTCTCTTTTCAATGTTCATATATATCTTTAAAATGAGACAATTACTATAATTTTTACCGTGTCTAACTTCATAATATCTTATAACTTGTTAACACATTCCATTTGACAATGAAACTATTCTCTGAATGCAGGACCTAGCTAATGACCTTTACTTTCAGTGACTGCAGTAAGATGTAGACCTTACCTCTTTAGTTATATATCCATCCTTATTTATATCATACAAATTGAAAGCCCAGTTCAGTTTCTCCTGTACTGTCCCTCGGAGTAAAATTGAGAGACCCATAACAAAATCCTAAATAGACAAAAGGTCTTGGTCAGTTTGGAAACGAGCAGTTTTTCTCAAACACTCTGAAATCTAGAACAATGCATTGTCAGAAGTATGAAAAGATGTTTTGTTTCAATTTTTTTTTTTTTTTTTTGCTTCACTGCGAGTGCTAATGATTGCTGGATTAACAATCTAGGCACTATTTGCTACACTCATAATTAATAAGTAAATTGAGTAATTTTCTATAAAGTAAACCATAATTTTCCATTAGTGGTTGTATCCTCTGAAAAACCTAATGTCTCACATAAGCAGTTCCTGTTGAAGTGAATACCAGGAAAAAGCCATCCCCATGGTTTAATGGTCCAAAAAAAGCTAAAGTGGTAGTTAGATTAATCTAAGCACAGGAGGCCAATCTGGAGAGAACTATGTACTAAGGAACATTAAATTCTTGTTAAATCTGTACTTTGTTAAAGTGGAATATGTGGTTCCCAGATCTCTTAGATCAGTCTGCTGCAGTCAATATTTCAAACTTCATGTATGATACTGCACACCTCAATTCTTATTACTTTTATTGGAAGTATAATAGAGAATAATAACTATATTACATGTCCATGTACCATCTTAATGTTTTTGTGATCTACCAATGCTCTAATTGCTACAGAGCTCTTCCACAGAAATTAACCAGAAGGCTTTTGAGATTATTTATATGTAGTATTTGGTTATAGACTTTTGTTTCATAATAAATACTCTTTTGACAGCACAAATCTCATTTACATTTAGCATGTTCCAGATTGGAGAAAACATCAGCTCTCATCACCTCTCTTCTGTATTTCTTAGCATGTTAATATTTTGTAAACAATAGCTTTTTTTTTTCTCCCAAACATCTCCTCCACCTCTTTTTATTTGATAAGAATATGAACCCATAAATATGTGAAATTGCCTTCGTAATAGGTTGAGAAGAATATGGCAAGTGTGTATATTTAAATGTGGTTTTCTACATTGCTGGCAATGACATAGAGGAATTCTTAGAGTAACATTAAAGTAGAGACAATAACAGCTGAAATATTTGTTATTTGCACCACGAAGGTTTTGCATTTTGTCCAATGCAGCAACAATGGAAAAGACTACGCTGAGGTTAGACATAAATTTAAAAGGTCTGGTGTACCACAAAGTCAAATACATATACCTGATACACTGGAGTATACACGGATATCATGGACTCAGGGGGTCTAGTAGGCACAGACAGCTCTTCTGACAGCTTCAGTCTTTTCAACAATTCAATTGGCATGCTCTGGGTTTTCTTAGTCTGTCACAGATTTCTGTCTTACTGGTATATGTGCCCTTTGGGGTAAATGGATACATGAATCTTGAAAGAATCTTGCTCATCTTGTCTACATCTCAATGACTAATTGAGGGTCACAGGGTTAAATCTCCAAACAGTTCTTTAACAATGTACTATTAAACATCAAAATGTTCAAGAAATTCAGAACAGATTTGATCACATTACAGCATTAGCGTTTAACCTTTTTAATTTAGTACCATGTCTTTTTTGCACGGTTTTACATTCTTGATGTAGCTGCTCCTTAAGTCCTTCGTGAAGGTCTCCGGTTGCATTATTTTCTTAGATTATATGTAAGAGTTGTAAATTTATTGAATTGTGAATTTATTTTTTATTTTGGGACAGCGATATTTTTTAAATTTATTTTATTTTAAATACATCAATTTTTCTTTTTTTGTTCAAGTCTCTTTGTTCCTTTCTGTGATGCACCACCTGTGTTAGCTGCCTTCCTAGAATCATTTCTAGCCTCATTTCCAAGGCTACCCTTCTATCATCGGTTTTAAAAATAAAACCCTTGACTTTGTGTTTTTTTCATGGGATTGAGTATTCTTAAAAAGCAGAGACAACTCAAAAACCTTCTGGGTATGTGCTCTAAACATTGCAGCACTGAGTCATCTCCTTCCACGTTGCATCAACAAGTTTTGGGATCCCACATAGTTCAGATGCATTGCCTTTGTCTGAGTGTGGTGCAGGAGTCATCATCTCAGGAACAATAGAAAGGATTTATTGTAATAAGAAGTTGTGATGAGCTGGATAAGGAGCAGATAGGATGGGATGTCTTTTCTACATACTTATTTTCAAGCAACTGAAGAACGCAGCAATAGAATCATACAGAAATAGAGTATCTGATTCAATGGATATAGGCCAAATCCACAGGGTATTTTGGGTTAGAGCCTTGAACAGGAAAATGTTCTGCATGGTGGAAGGCAATGTGTGTGTCAGGAGCAGTGTAGCCATTCTAGCTGTTAAGCTAATCATCCAGTGCAGAAAGCCACAGTAAAACAGCAGTGCAGAGGGAAGCAGCTAAATTCAGGGAGCAGCTACCCATCTTTATGCATGCAACCAACAACTCAGTGATGCACAGATCAGACACACCATTTAGCAAAGAGCATAAATACAAGTCCCCATTACAGTATTAGAGCACCCAGATGTTGTTTTCGGTCCTGGTTTAGACATCTAATTTCTAGAGAGAGAAGAATTCTACTTTTAGAGCCTGTTTATTTTTTAAGAATATTTCACCATACTCAGATGCATACATCCTCTGAGGATGCTGCCAGTGCCCACTGAGAGCTGGGCACCTAATGGGGAGAGGTCCATGTGATCTAGGGTGACAGAGGAGCCTAAAACAGGAATCTGGGCTGAGACACAGCTCTAGGTTGGGTCTTCAGTCTGTGACAGTGACATTAGAAACACAAGTCTCTCTGCCTTGGCACTTCTCTTTACTCCTTTCCACAGCTTCCTGTTTGTAACTTGCCAGTTTCCTGCAGAGCATGCTAATACCTGTTAAGACCTCCTTCTGTGCCTAATTTTGATTCTTCAAGAAAGGGGGATGTCTCACTGAAGGGTTGCAAAATGCAGTGTCATTGCACCTGTACCAGATCCTCTGTGTACTCAGAGCCTGCTGACATTTCTGTTCTGCACTACAGCTGTAGAAAATGTCTTGTTGTGATCTGGCATGAACTTGTGTTTGTGGGTTTTTTTCAGCAGTGATTAATTATCTCTTAGCTAGCTTGTTGATGACTTTCTGATTGCTTTATCTCTCATTAAATCTTTGGGGATAATAAGTTCATTAATAAATCAATTAACAAGCTTATTAGTGTGCTGTCTCAAATCCATAGGAAAGCTTAAAATTATTCCACCTGGTTATGTGTTCCTTTATGTCTTTTTCAAGGCCAGAAGTAGGTAGGCAGGAACCTTAATCCATTTTTAAATTTAGATTTTAGGATTTTGAAAAGGAATCAAGTGATGTCACAGAAGTGATGGAGCCCTGGTATATGTAAAACAAAGGTCACAGAGGAGGAACTGCTCCTAAAAGGAAATGCATTTCTTGGTAGCTACTTTAAATCAGATGGTGTTAAAATGCTTATGAGATCACCAAAGAAAAATAAGGTCATTTCCTACATGACATGGACAAAGCTTTTTGTGTTGAACCCACAGACTCATGCTTGTGAACCTCATGAAATTCAATGAGGCCAAGTTCACAGTCCTGCACCTGGATCAGGGCAATCCCAAGCCAAAATACAGGCTGGGCAGAGAATGCATTTAGAGCAGCCCTGAGGAAAAGGACTTGGGGATATTGGTTGATGACAAACTCAACATGAATGAGCAATGTGTGCTTGCAGCCCAGAAAGCCAACCATGACCTGGGCTGCACCAAAAGCAATGTGACCAGCAGGTCAAGGAAGGTGATTCTGCCCCTCTTCTCTGCTCTCATGAGACCTCACCTGGAATACTGCTCAGGGGCCAAAGGACATGAACCTGCTGGAACAAGTGCAGAGGACGGGAGCACCTCTGCTATGAAGACAGGCCAAGATAGTTGGGCTTGTTCAGCCTGGAGAAGACTCCAGGGACACCTTAGAGCACCTCCCATTACCTACAGGAGAGCTGGGGAGGGACTCTGCACAAGGACACATAAGGACAGGACAAGGGGAAATGGCTTTAAACTGACAGAAAGTAGGTTTAAATTAGCAATTAGGAAGAAATTCTTCATTGTGAGGACGGTGAGGCTCTGGAACAGGTTGCCCAGATAAGCTGTGAGTGCCCTATTCCTGGAAGTATTTAAGTGTTTAAGGATGGGGATTTGAGCAACCTGGTCTAGTGGGAGGTGTCCCTGCCCATGGCAGGGGGATTGGAACAAGATGATCTTCAAGGTCCCTTCCAATCCAAGGCATTCTATGATTCTATGACTTTTTTAACTGCTGCCTTCATAATACTGCCTTGGACACTACTTTTATTATTAATGAAATATGAAGTAGTTGATCTTGAGAACTGTACTCTTCTACAGAAGTGAGTTAGCATGCTTGCTAATTTATTCACCAATATAAGCTTGGTATTTATAAATATGATAAAAACTTTAAAGATCTCCATTGTGTGTGGGCACATTGTGCTTTAAGGCACTGAGAATTTGTGGGATTATTGAATGACTTTCAGCAAGGTCACATTTAGAATAACCTTAATCTGCATCTACAACAAATGAAGGATACTGATTTAGATATTTGCATGTGTGTGCAATGAGCTTTACCTCTGACAATATATCTAAAGTTAATTAGACTCCATTTTTCTGACTGTGTAAATAGCTTTGAGGCCAGATCTTCATTTTGGCTCAGTGACAATATACATGCAGCAAATGAAAACCTTGTTTTTATATCTGTCTCTGTCTAGTGGAAAAAGAACTTCACTAACATGTCCCAAGAGGTCTCCAATAGCTGAGTCACCGGGTCTTCAGAAACTGCCATATTAAAGCAAAACTAGTTAACAAAACTAAAGAAATAAACTAGTCTCAAAATTAATACAATCATGGGATAAGGAGAGGTAAGTTCAAGCACCTAGTTTTATGTTTGGTTTTTATGCTACATAAATCCTTCACTTGGAGATCCTAGCTCGTATCAAAGAGCATACAGATTGAGAGATGATAAAACTCTATGGACACAGCAATCTCCCCAAGTAATCTCACCAAGCAATGTCAATTGAGGTGTGCATTTAAGTTGTGCTCAGATATAACATTTTATTGTTGATGGTTGAAAATTTGAGGAAAAAAGAGCAAAAAGCTAAAGCAAATTCTTTCTTTTTAAATGCAACTCCAGCTACCACTGCTTCATGGGAAATTGAGAGTGAACACACACACAAAAAAGTCATTCTTATCAACAAAATAATTTTGCTACCATTTCAGATTTTGATAATCTTTTTTTACACAGGAGATAGCCAGAGTGTTTTCATCATAAGTAATTATATTAAAATGTATTTACTCCTACTTTATATAGAAAGTACTTTGGAAAGAATGATTATTCTTTCTCCAAACTTTTAAATTACTCCCTCTCTACCTTTTCAGCTGTTTACTATTGTTGTTTTTCTAATGGAAATTAGAAAACTAGAATAAAGATTGGAATAGAAAGAAAATGGCACAGCTGCACCTAGGATTAAGAGGAGCAGGAGAAAAATGAGATTATTGTATTTTGCACATTTCACAATATCTCCTTTCACATTTTGCAGCTGTATTCATGTGATTATAAAAAAACCCTCATACATTTTTAACTTCAGAAGGATACTTTTAGAATGGGTATCATACAGTTTGCAAGTATAATGTTGCTACAAGGATATAGAAGCAAGAGTCTTTTGACAGCAGTAGACTTATGCTGGATTCAAAATTAGAGCAAACAATTTGAGTCTGGACCAGTCATGTCTGCCTTGATATTGAACAAAAGTTCAGCACCTCTGCTTTTATTTTCCTGATTTATTTTATTTCAAAGCCCTTTATCAAGCACAAACCTGTACTCTGAGATAATCAAAGTTCTCCAAATCTAGTGCATTTCTTAAGACTTTCTGTCTGAAATACAAATGTCAACAAATTGAAGCTCCCCATTCTTTTTAATGATACCTGCAGAAATACTTTTCAACTACTCATTCTAAAAAGAACTTTTCTCAATGTGCCTGCTGTTGCTGTAACTGAAAGAGGGGAAGTTTAGGTTAGATATACAAAAGAAATTCTTTACTGGGAGGGTGGTGAGGCACTGGCACAGACTGCCCAGAGAAATTGTGGATGCCCCATCCCTGAAGTGCTCAAGGTCAGGTTGGATGAAGCAACTTGGTCTGCTGGGAGGTGTCCCTGCCTATGGCAAGGAGTTTGGAACTGGGTGATCTTTAAGATCCTTTCCGATCCAAACCATTCTATGATTCTGTGATTTGACCAGAAGAATCCTTGCGTATTTAGTGTATGTACAGAAGACATAAATTAATCCTCTTTTGCTGCTCCTAGCTCACACAGATTCCGCTGACTTCATCTGCCTGGAAAATGTAGATAGGGTTCATGTTTTTTTATTTTAAATAAATGTAAATAATGAAAAAAAAAATCTGATTATAGTCTTAGTTTAGGGTATAGATTTCTGATCATAGAGCACCTGATTGGCAAGTCTTCTTACTATTCCATCAATTAATTATTTTTATGAAAAAAACATCGGTATAACCTCACAACATCATTCAGTAAAATAAATAATAAACACATGTACAGGACATTTCAATAAATTTGAAGTGAGTGTATTTATCACAATCCAATCAAAATTTGTAAGGAAATAATTAGTTCATTAGAATAAAAACCAAAGAAATAATTACATAACAAATATATCTTTTTGTAAATGAACTGACTTTTAAAAAAAATTCTATAACTTAAAATATTATCTTCTTTGCAGTATTTAGTACACCCTGTTCTCATCTGCAGTACTGCAGTAAGGCCCCTTTTTTCTATATTATATTGTGTGGATGACACCAGCCTTACCAAGGAAAGGCAGAACTGGGAAAAAAAATTGGGCAGCTAAATAGTGGAAGAACTAATTTCCAACTCTTGTGCTTTTAAAAACATTTGCTTTAAAGCCTTTTTCTAGAACTTTCTGGAAACTAAGTGTGAAAAATCTGATTTTGGCTGAGTCATCCACGTAGTTCAGAGTTGTAGTTCAGAGACCTCATCTTGCAAAGGCAGAGAGGAAGAACTATTTTAGGTAATTTGTGCATAAATTGGCTTATCTTTTAAATGGACAGATTTTTAAAAATATGTAGTAGCACAGTCTGAGTTAACAATATGGAATATACAATTGTAAAGTAATGCCTTTTGTTATTACATTGGAAAAACTGAAACGTGAGTCACAGCTAAATTTTCCCTCATGTGAGCCAGCCACCAAACTGGACTTCATTACAAGGAATGGCAAAGTATTAAATTTTATAGAAATAAGCAATGACATCACTTACCTCAAAACTTACAGATCCATTGTGATCAGTGTCAAATGCATTAAACAGAAAATGTGCATATGTTGTGGAATCTAAAATTTAAAGCATAAAAAAACCCACAGTAAGCATATCTTATTTAATAAAATTTAATTTAATTCTATTAAAATTATTTGATTCGGAAATATATTTTGATACCAAAATTTCATAGCAAGACTGTATTTTCAATGAAATTTAAACTTTCTTTTCAGCAGGAGAGGAAGGATAAGTTATAAGTGCAAGTGTGTGGACAGCAACACTGCTAGAAACCAAAAATAAAAAATTCTGTTCTAGAATACCTCTATTCATTTTTATTCTTGTGTTTGCTAATCACTGATAACTGAGCAAATAGCACAGGTGACATATTGTACTCTGAAACAACCTGTTTTAACAGGAACACCGACTGTGGCAGGGATCTGTCTCATGTGCTTACAATGAAGAATGTGTTCATTTGTTCCTGTTAAATGAGGGAAGCAGACACTGCCCTCCCTGCATTGTGTGTGCTGGTTTTGCTCTGGACACAGCCCTGCTTCCCAGGTTGAAGCTGATCTTGTTAGAAAGCTGCTGCTCTTATTGGGTCCTATGCTCACCCACAGGTGAGAGGAAATCCTCTCCTGAGGAGCAGATTCTTAAAGCTGGCTTGCTGCTGAATTCCTATGATCATGGCATTAGGGCTGGGAAAAATTGGCTGTGACTCACTAAATGGTCAGTAAGACTCTGAAAGATGACCTTAAACAAATGATCCCTTCACTATTTGCTTAATTTCCAAACCTCCTCCTCAGTGCATATTGATTCATTTCAGAAACACAAGACAGCTTAAATATAAATCTGTCAAGACTGTAACTTTTGTAAAGATCCATCTTTCTCTCTCCACCGAATGCCTTCTGAAAGGCACAGCCTGCTCCAGGAGTAATCCATTGTGAGGAGAGCACTTACCCAGAGACTGCCCTGCAGATGTGAGGTAGAAGTTGCTGGGGTTAAGGGAAGTCAGCTGTCCTCAGTATTTTTCCCTCCCTCAAAACCATGCAAATTAATGAAGGATGAGGGTTTGTTGACTTTTAATACTCACTTTTCCATTTCTAATTCATATGTTTACATTAATTTTAGGCTAATTAACATTAATCTCACAAATTATTAACAAAGGGCAAAGCGTTATGAAATCAGTGTCCCCTTTGCAGAATAAACTTCTCCCTCTCATGGAAAAACCTGATCAATGCTGAAATGCCATTTCCTGATTTTTTGGCACGTAACCATTTTACCTTTTATATCAATCCTGCAAACCTTTATTTTTCACAGCCCAAAACAGTGTTTTGCGTTAAACTGAGCACTAGCCTTGAGACACTCAGCTGAAATGCCACTTTGACTCCAAGGAATTGAATATACCAAAACTCAAAGCTTTTTGTTTCACAGATTCAGACCCGATAGTTGTAAGAAAATTCTCTAGTCTTACTTCAATATGTTTATTTTGTATGATGTGAAGCAATCATAACAAGAAAAAACTGCAATCTTTAAAACCCGTCTGTTAACATTTTCAGAGAATTAAATCCACCCCAGCACTATTCAAGAGAGTCATTCATTCTTCCATGTATCCAGTAACCACTGTAATTGCTTAAGCACAGCTTGGCAGATACATTCACACTAGCTGAAAAATGTAAATTTTTTTACTACAGTTTATATTTAGCATTTTAATAGTCATATTTTCTGTAATCTACTGAGACTTCTGTTGTGCAACAGAATATACTATGCAAATCATCTTTCAGGGAAAAAACATGTTATAGAGGTATAATTACTGGAAAAGGAATTTTAAATACCTTCCTATTCTCTTGGCACCCATTTCTTAAAAATATCAGAAATATTCCTAGTAATTTTCTGTAGATATACAGAAAGCACAAAGGTATTTTAATTTTGTTGCCCATGCATGATACAAGATAATACTTTTTTTCTGTATGATGGTATATGAAAAAAAAGTCCCTAGTTAAAAAATATTTTTTCTAGTAACCCCTCTGAAAAAAAAATAAATCAAAAGCTTTTTCAGAGTTGTTTGCTCAAGCAATTCAGTTCTGAAATTTTGCCTTCAAAACCACAGCAGGATGAGGCACGCTAGTCTTTTAATTAGAGCTCCTTAGTCTGATTTCCCCCTTTCCCCCCTAAATCTTGAACATTATTCATTTTAGACAAAATCTTAACTTTTAAAATTAAATACAATTTCTTTCCAAGGATCTGATATCATAACTAGTAGGCTAATTTGCTGTTTTAACAGGTTGAGATAGGAACAGCTCTTAAATCAGAATTCCCTTGAAAAACACCATCAAAGCATTTTAAATGTCAGAGGCAAAATATGGTAATCACATGGGAAAGTGTGACTTATCAAACTACAAGCATGATCTGTTTTATTCAGAAGTGATGAAGGAGTGTAATAATTATTCAGTGTGTGGATTCTTATCCATAACTTGCTTGGCTGAAGAAAAATCCCAGCTTTCATTTCAGGTGATCCAATGCATAAATGCAGGGGGTATATTCATTCACCTGTATGGCAGTAAATCTAAAAAGAAGCTACTGGAATGCCCCTTCTGGCACGGAAAGCTTTTTAAAAAGTTACTTTTGCCTTTTAAAATACATTTCTTTTGCTGCAATCCAGTCTCATGTCCTTTCCTTTGTTACTCTCGTGGCACCTTGTCTTATTTGTAATTCTCCTGTACCTCGTCCTGGACAGTCTTGGAAGTTGCTTGAGGAAGTGACTTGCTGGATGACATTAAAAAAAATTCTTAAGTTGCCCTGAAGCTTAAAATCCTATAGACATAATTTTATTTGTTCAGATATGAATTGTCATAACGATACATTGTATTGTACCTGGTTTTTCAGCACACAGACAACTGGAGCACAGATCTACGTGTTTTAATTCAGGGAAAACTTTCAAGATTCTTTTTTCCTCCTTAATACTGGGACATACATAAAATCATTATTTTAAGCACAACTGATATTTAAAGGCCTCAGCTGGACACATTATTTTGACAAGACTTTCAAAGATTTAAGAACTTAGTCTGGCTTCTTAACTAGACATTCCACTGCAGTTCTCACCTCCTCCTCCAAAGGATGCCACTGCCCTAAATGCCAGAGGAGGAGCAGAAGGATCACCATTAACACCAGGAATAGGTGTAGAAATTAGACATTCCATACGTATACATTTTAACTAAATTAATAGTTTTTCTTCTCTGTTACAACTAGATCTGGACTAATAAAGATCAGTCTTTTAAGATTACATTTACTCTCAAAATTTCTTTTGACTTTACTTTTAGAACAGGTGTGCTTTCTCTTTGCCCATGGAAAATTCAGAGTGTAACAACAGGAAATATGACAGATTTTTTTATTAAGTGTAACAAAGGTGTAGTAAATCAAATAGAGAGAATTAATTTCACTACCGAAGGATAACTACAAAATATAATATTTCAAACTTTAATTGTTAGCTTGGTCTAAAAGAGAAACAATCAGTAGGGTCAACCCTTCTAGCCTTTTTTTCATTTCCATTGAGTGTGCCTACTTCTTAATGATTTCAGAGACAGTAATCTGCTCTGAATGCTGCTCTTTACCTTCTAGGTCTTTATTCGAAATAAAACTAATGGGGAGATATTTTGTTCCTACCAATTAATATGGGTTTTTAAAATTAAAAATGAAAAGAAGGAGTTCTGAAATACACAAATCTCAAGAGCTCTGCGAGAAGTTGAAGAGGTGGGATTGAAGGGTTGTAGGAGAATATGAAGAGGGGTAACTGAACAGCAAATGCAAGAGGAAGAAAAGAGAGGAAAAAAATTCAAATTGAAAGAAATCTGAGGTTCAAGGAAGAAAACTTGTTACATATTTTTGTGTTACCTTCATTGCACTAAAAGATAATGGAAATAAAAAATAACTAAACTCCTGGAAATCAATTAATTGAAATCAAGGTTAGCATTTAAGAATAGAAACCCCATAGAATTAAAAGAGGGTTCTGCTGTTGATATGAGAGGGTACCTGCAGTGCCTCCTACAGTTTCTCCTACTGTGAAAGGGTTTTTTTTAATTAAAGGGAATGGGCAAGAAATTTAGAAATCTTAAAGAAAAATAACGTATTCAGAGAAACTTCATGGTTCCTAAGTACAGGTAGTAACTTCATAACAGAAGACTGACTTAATGCAGCTATCATTGCATTTCATTCAGAAATATATACTTAAAAATGTGTCCAGCTATCAAGGAAGTACTCCATGAATTCAGACAGAGCTTGAGGCAATAATCTTGTTAATTTGAATAAGAGGCTCTTTTGTCAGACTTAGGAACTAACAGACATACTGCACTACTAATTATAACTGCTAAGTACTTACCTCCCTGTGGAAAGAACTGAGAGTAAATCTCTTTGAAGGTTTCTTCATTGACAACACCACTGGGGCATTCCTGGAAAAAAGTAAATGACAAGAAATTAATACCATCCAATCTGGTCCACTCAGCTGAGGTGTTCATGAGACCATCCACAACACGTGTGTCACTGACAGTTTAAAATGTGTGACTTTGCACTTTCAACCAAATATTAATGAACATCATCACACTGAAGTATCTTCCTAAAGAATTCCCATGAGAAAAAAATTCATTCTATGCCATGGATCTCAGTTTCATTTGAGACCTGAGTGATACACATGAGCAGCAAGCCCTGTGCCACAGTGAGTGGAGCTGTTGTGTCACCTGTGGGCCCTGAGTGGTTTTGCTCCCTCAGCTGCAATCAGCGTCTGCATGGTATGGAAATCAAGCAGGAATGTAAACACTTAGGCATTACTGATAAAACATGCAGTCATATTCTACTGGGAGAGTTCTATTCAATGAATTCAAAAGACCCTGCCACTGAAGATCTCATTCAAACTTTGCAGAGCCTTTTGCCTCTTTACATCCTTTTCATAAACTGAAGTATGTAACACAGAATAAGTAAGAAGCTTCTGAATAGAGTGACTACAAAAAAAGAAAATTAAAGGAAGTGAAGGAGAAAAATAAAGGTGGTTAAATCAATGACTTTACAAAAATGACTTATGCAAAGATGTGGGAAAAGCAGAAGGAATACTGTAATTGTTTACTAAGTCAAGCATAAATATCCAAGACTGGAAAGCTGATTTCTAGTCCTGATTTTGCCAGACTGAGCAGAAGACTTTGGGCAATGTACTTAATTCCTTTTTGGCCTTAATTCCTTCTTTAACATAAAAGAGGGATAAAAAGCCAGGTATGCTCTTTAAAAGAAAAGGACTTTTAGAAACAATGAAAAAAAAGAAAATGCAAATTAAGTTTTAGGGTTCATATATTTATTTTTTACTATTATCATGCTGTTGGACTGAAGACTCAAACATATTTGCTCCTAGTGCTAAGCTCAGGAAACTTAGCTTGAAATGGAGATCAAGAGTAATGTAACATCTTTTACCAGTGTAATAACAACTTTTCCTGTGAGAACAAGCAGTATTCCAATTAGATCAAATAAGGACCACTGAGATATTCATAGTCCTGGCACCTTCTGCTAAGAAACAAATAGTATCATCTCTAATTGAGAGACAAATGCACCATCAGAGAAATGGATGTCAGATCTTTAGGTCTTAGGATAATTATGATTTTATGTCACATATCCTTAGCTAAATCAGCTTTTCATCATAACTAAGCATATACAAACATATAGTAAAAAATAATTCTGTTTGATCAAAAACCAGAAACAAACAGCTGTGTCAGAGATACACACACAAATTTATTTGTCCTTGGGCACAGAGACTGTCACTGATGCAGGCAGAGTCAGAGCTCAGGTCTCTGTAAGATTAAATAAGTACTGACTGCTGGGCCACACTGCCTTTGGAACCAAAGCCTTTGGGGAATGGGAGGAACAGTGAAATGGACCTCTACTCTTCATTAGGTAAGTGGCAATCCATAACTGAGGAAGCATCTCCCTGACTGTCATGTCTTTGGGTATCAGGGCATTGTAAAACATCTCTCTCTCTTACCAGCTTTCCAGAAAGACCAGTCAGATAGGTCACTGTCTCTATGGTTTCTAGCAGGTTTACAAGAAACAAGCAATAGGACAAGAGGAAATTACCCCAAGTTGTCCCAGGAGACGTTCAGATTGGATATCAGGGAAAATTTCTTCACTGAAAGGGTTATCAAGCATTGGAACAGGCTGCACAGGGCAGTGGTTGAGTCACCATCCCTGAAGATATTTAAAAGTGTGTAGAGGTGGCCCTTGGGGACATGGTTTAGTTGTGGATTTGGCAGCTGGGTTAGTGGTGGACTTGATCACCTCAGACATTTTTTCAACCTCAACGATTCTATGATGTTATGATTCTATGCTGCTTGTCTTTGGGAAGCCTTCTGGAGCTGTATAAGAGCATGGAAGAGAACAGTATTTTTACTTGGATTCAAAGCACAATAAAGGAAGCATTGGTGAATTCTTCAGATGCTCATTGAAATAATATTATAGTTATTCAATGTAGAAAATGTAACAGAAGTATTTTACAACCTCCTCTTCCGAGCATAGAATAGTATATGAGCTATGTCATTCTCAGACCTGCAGGAGGAAGAATAAACAGCCTTTACCCTAAGATGGGTGTGAGTTTGATAAAACAATGCACCATTTTGAAATTTAGAAAAAGAAGCAGTGGCTTCTTTCTGTTCTGCAGGTAATTCTTTTTCAGACAAGAAAGCTAGGCACATTTTGAAGGAATTAAAGAGAAAACTGAGGAGTTTAATAAATAATGAATGACGAAATGCACATTTAACTTCATCATATGGCTTATTAACATGTAAAACAATTTTTTCCTCTTTTCCTTAGCTGACAAAGAATTCAAATTATACTTTTGCAAAGAATGCTCTCCCCTTTTTTACAGGAAATGCCAACAGCTCCAACTCTGTCAGTCCTTAGTCTGAAGCTCTGAAGACTGAGTCCCATTTCCTGACTGCATTTAAATGTTGTGATGTTAGAGGAGAATTAAGGATACCCTGCAAAAATATATACGATTTGTTATTTGTTTCTTCAAAATTAGCTGTCTGCCTTTGTTATTAGAGAAATACAAGACCTATATACCTCATTTAAAGGCATTCCTTTTTTCTTCTGTCACTTAATAACACTGGTTTCACACTGTTTGAAGGACTTATTTCTTGAAAAGGCAACCTACTTTCAGAGAATTATATATTAGCAGAGCCAGGAATGACATTTTGAGTTTCTCTAGCTTGTCCCTCTGCAGTTTCCTTTGTTTTTTTTGCCACAGCATTGCCAGCAACACTTTACCTTTTCCATCCTTGAAGGTCTGTAGAAATGGTGTCTTAAGGACATTCATTAAAAATCTGAGATGCTGGCCAATTACATTTACCAGAAATGCCAGCTCAAATTTTTCTTAGGCATGCATCTTTCCTCTGAGACTCTACATGACAGCAAACACTTCTGATCTTGAATAATTTCATTCTAAAAATATATGTGGCCAAAATGATTTACCTCCAAGACTGTACTTTTCTTGGTTCATAAATCTGGCTTTATTGTGTTTATCAGGAGATTTGTGCAGTTCAGGGAAAGAGATTAAATATTGTAATTGTTAAGAACGCCCCAAGGTTTTATGTCAAGCTATTGCTGACTTCTTCCACTGTACCAACTATAATTAAAAAAATTGATCTAACCTTTCATTAAACTCTTATAAAAGAGAGGAAAATAATTAAATAGTTTGAAAGAAAAATATGAGGCTTATTTAAACAATTTCCTATATTCTTTCTTTCCTTGATCTGGATATAATTTATTTTGTTGCAGCAAATTTCTGTTTGACAATCTTTTAAAATTACACTAATGTATTAGATTTTCCTTCTGGAGAATATAAAGGAGGGAATGTTCAACTTGAACTGAGTCCAGTTCTCTCTCTTTTAAAGAGAAAATAATATAAACTGACAAACAGAGAATAATAAATGTGATTCTTCCTTTTCATGATCTCTCTTGCTTGCAATTTTGCTGCTGGGAAATTACACCTCCAGCACAGGGTCTTATGAACCACTCTAAACCCTGCAAATTATTTACAAGCCTCATGCTGTCTAAGACATCTGCCCTTCAGTATTCTTAAAAAAAACTGCAGTAGGTGATTCTTCTTTACTACCTAATCAACATCCTTTTCAGACAAGAGGCAAAACAAGAAGACACAAAAATGAAGAAATAGTGAAATATAGAAAAGAGAATGAAGGAGAAACAAACTCAAAGCTGAGACTTTTGTCTGCATAGCAAACAATTTTGAATGATGGATAAAGCTGGAGTTTGGGCAACTTTTAATATCTTTTAGTTATAGACTTTTGCAGGATGGGTTTCCCATCCCATCTTCATCTGCTGTTTCAGTTTTCATACTGTTTCATTTTAGATGCATGTTCATGTCCATTGATTTAATTAACAGTGACTGATAATATTTTCTCTTTCTGCGTGCACTTACATGCTCTATGTGCGTATGCCTTCTATGAATACACCTTCAGCCTCCTTCTCTTTCATACTGTTGAATCAGACCAGATATGTCCCCTAATAAATGAAATTATTTAATTTATTTAATAAATTTCTATCATTCAATACATTAATTCATCGGTATTGCAGCAATTTTACTTGAGAATACTTTTAGAATTAAAGAGGTATTTACCAAATACCAACAGGGCTAAACTGAAATTTTGACCTATCTTAGAGCTGCATGCCATGAATAAATATGTTTGTAATTTATTGTAAATTAAAAACCAAATAAATTTGTAATTTCATACCGAATTTCCCTGCAGTAAATATAAATGAACTTGTCCATGCTATATTCATCAAGAATAGATTTCATCACCTATTTATTTTGAAGTCAGAGAGAGTGTGATTAATTTTTTGTCCTGAAAGAACTCTTAGAATACAGGGTTTACTTTTGATACTGGTTTATTTCATAAAAAACATAGAACATATATCAGAAATTATCTTTGTGGAAAGGGACTAGGTGGCATTTCCGGAGTTCTGATCACACTATTGGACAATATAGGAGTAACACCAAGAACAGGGTAAAAATCCTGCAGCAGCTAATAAAAGTGAACTTACTCTAGCTGGATTTTGAAGTAGATGATGCAAACAAAATGAGGTGTCTGGGGAGAGACGTTTTTGAAGTCATTAACGAAAAAACAAGTGCATAAAAAAAATCTCAAAAGATATGCTTAAAAGAGATGCCATGCACTGGCCTGTGAAGCAGCCTCAGAAAACTAATTCAGAGAAAAACCTCTCTCTTGAAATATTTGAAATGTGGCTGAACAAAGCACTAGAAATTAAGACTGGAAAAATAACCTGGGAATAGTCAGACAGTTCAAAAGTCTTTTTCTCATTAGTACAGATTTAAAGAAATCACAGACAACCATAGTTATGCTCCTTTTCTTTTTTCTTTTCCTTTCCTCTAAATACT